CTAGGCGAGGTGACACAGCCGCACCGCTGCTGGCTGGACGTGAGCTGTAGGAGAGAGAGCAGGCTACCCCTCAGAGGGTCAGGACCGCGGGAGATGGAAACCAGCCCCAGCCCTGTGTCCCTTCACCCTGCCCAGGACATTTAACATGGGCGCCAAAGTGCCCTCTCTTCTCTGAGCTGCTGGCACAGGCACCCAGCCCACCGCCCTCAGTTTTTACCTATAGATGCACCGACAGTTGTGTATCTGGTGTTGTTTAAAACCAGGTGTCAGAAGGACAGATTTATTTTTCCCCCTCTCCAAACGCAATATAAAAGTCAAAGTTGTCTTCAGTCTCATAGTTCAGGTGCCAAGTAAATGGCCTGAACTCTGCCCTATGGCCTGAGTCGCGGGGCATTCTGGGCCCCAGTGGGGTGACAGCATCATGCCCAGGCACATGCACACGGGTGACTGTGGCTGGCTCTGCGGCCTACTGGCACTGACACCGGACAGAAAATCCCTTCATCGTCATGTTTCAGTTTCTTCAGCTGTGAAATGGGAATGACAGTAATACCGTGGCCTCCCTTGCAGGACTGTTGGGGGAATTAAGTGAGTGGTTGTGCGTGAAGCTCGTCAGTAGGCCAAGCACAGGTTTGCACTCAAAGGACGGAGCCATTTTCCACGTCTCAGCTCTTTCACTGGAAGAACTGTATACACTCATGTCACGGCAGCTGTTTATTCCATCCTGTCAAGAAGACTGGGCAAGAGGCCCTTTCTGGGCAGCCAACACTAACCTTCTGTCCATCCATGTGTCCAAGGGTCGAGGCCTCACCCATAAGGCCCCTCAGGTGAGCTGGTGACGGCTCTGTGACCCGGGACGCTGCTTGGCGCAGAGGAGCCTTAGCCCCTGGGTCGCGCGCGGCAAGTGTGCCAGAGCAGCCCAGGACGTGTGGGCCAGCGGGCCGGTGCGGTGGCAGGAGAGCTCCCCGGGTGCCGGAAACCAAGCTGCTCTGCTTTGCAGGGCTGTGCTGCCCCCCGAGCACTGGGCTTGTGAGAGAAAAGCGCCTCAGCCGAGCGACGCTTTCTGTTCCAAGGGTGGAGAATAGCTCTTCGAGGACGCCAAGTTAGGAAGGCCCAGTGGCCGCTTTTGAGAAGCCTGGTGACACGAGAGGAGCAGAGTCAGAAGTGGCCTCAGTCCAGCTGAACAGCATCCTGGGGGCTGAGGGACAAGCAATTGACATACCTCAGGGAGCCCAGGGTTGCTTGGTAGAGGGGCGGCACGTCAGCTGAGCTTTGAAGGGCGTGGCCTGTTCATTGGGCTGAGTAACAAATACAAGGCAGGTATGACACGGTTCCCATCCCCAAGGGCTCTGCCCACTAGTAAAGGACATGGCCAGGTGAGCAGCTGGTCCAGCAGAGTGTGAGGCCTGGGGATGGGGTGGGCCCGGAGGGGTGCCAGCCCCAACAGGGGAGGGGAGGAAGTGCTGCCCACAGGGTCCCAGAGGAATGTCACCCAAGCAGTTAGCCAAGTCTTGATGAGCTGTAGAAATTGTTCCAGAGAGGACGAGGCAGACGATCTGGGTAGAGGTGCCTCCGCATGCAGACATAGGAGCTGGAAAGAGCATGGGCGTCAGGAAACAGCTCCTGATGCAGCACATGTGGGGTGCTGGGGAGACCTGTGGGGGCCAAGCCGCGAGGGCCTGCAGGCTGTAGGGAGTCACTGAAGAGTTGTAAGCAGGGGACGAACTGTCCCAGGGTAGCCCTGTTGAAGCTGGTCAAAGGAGCTAAGATTCTGGCCCCTGGGGTAGAGGAGGAGCCAAAGAGGGGAGGGGTCCACGTGAGGTGGGGGTACCCCTGCCCTGGGCTTCAGCCGTGCCATGTAGGCAGCAGGAGCTGGCACCGAGAGGCCTGCTTGGGGCTCCAGCTGTCCCTCCAGTGTCAGAGGAACACCTGCAGCATAAGGGGAGGGCAGCCTTGCAAACCCGTGAGTCCAGATGTGCAATTATGCAAATCCCGGGAAACATGCAGAAAGATTCTCTGTAAGACCAAGAAGCAGCCCATCTTTTCCACAGCCCAGTCTTCTCTTGATGTGCAAGCCACTGGGGTGGGGCTGTAGGTTTTATGTCTGTTTCCCTCAGAGTCCGACGGGGGGCGCTATTGTGGGGTTTGATGACCAACAGGGAAGACACTGCCTGCCTCATTTCTCAGGAAGAAAGGGGCCTCAAGGGGTGGGGGGCAGCAACCATTCACTTGAACGCTTTGGCTTAGATTGAAACGAGGGCTGCTTTAGAACAACAGGTCACTGCCACAGACATAGGAAGTCAAAATGCCTCTTCACGGAGAGGCCGACAGCTTTCCCTCGGACTGGATGTGTGGCCTAGACCCTGGCCCTAAGCCGCCTGGACTTCAAGTCCGTACTGTAAATCCCCGGCAGCGTGATCTTGGCCAATCACTGAACTTCTGGTTCTTCTTATGTAACCAAGGGAACACAACAGGCTGCTCCCCACAGGGTCTCTGAAGATGGAAGGGGGCCAGCGTAATATGCCTGACATGTGAGTAATTGTTTGTATTGCTATTTCTGTTTCTCTCTCTGCACAATTTGACAGCCCAAGTGAACTTTGTATTCAAGGAGCCCTAAGGTGAAGAGAAGACAGAGAGGAAAAGGTGTGCTCGTACCTAGTGAGATGCCACAGAATCTTTGCATGTTGGACCAGAGGTACCTTTTATTTCTAGAAGGTCAAAACGTTTGCTCAACACTCCTGGACCACAGACAGAAGTCGAATCAGGATCCTGGGTGACTGTCACCATGGCCAAGTCCAGATGAAGAAGAGCCTCGGGGCCTTTGCCCCGTCCTCAGCGGGGCCTGCGGGGCTCTGACGGAGCTGTCGTTCCCAACACACCCCACACTGGGAGCCCCCAGAGTCCCCTGGGCTCCACGAGAGGAGGACGCCGGTGTCCTTAGGCTACCCCTAGATGGTCCCTTACAGGGCCCTGCTGAAAGTGCCTACGTTTGTGATGAACGTTTGTTTTCTGACAAGCTGAACCAACTTCAGTGTGGGACTCTGGGATTCACTCTTTCGGGCTCGTTTTTCCAGACGCAGAACAAGAGGATCGGGCAGGTCTACACTGACCAGGACTAGGTATTAATGTACTTTCCACCTTAGAAACTTCCTGATGCCTAATTCAGATACGGGGAGAAACCACCCCATTCCCGTCAGGCTGCAACTCAAAAGCACCTCCCAGCCCGACCGAGGGCCCCGGGGAGGCTTGGCCTCCAGGGCATGGAGCTCCCGGAGACTTTGGGGAGGACTTGGGAAGGGACGCGGCAGCCCGCGGCCCCGGGGCTCCCTCCGCACGCTGGAGGGCCAGCAGTGGGCGTGGTGGGGAAGCGGACCCCCGGACGCACCGCAGGCTCCGGTGCAGAGGAGCACGACGCCCGCGCAGCCTCACCCCTCCTTCTCATCTTTGAAAACTTACTGCCTTGATTTAAAAAACGTCTTCCCTTTTCTAACAGGAAAATAACAATAGTCATAATAATGAGAAAAGCAAAATAAGCACATGTAAGTGCATTTTTTCCGCAGAGATTTATTTTTGTTGATGACTCTGACACTGGTCAGGGAGAGAGGAAAAGGTGGGGGGCCCCGCAAGGAAATGCACCCCGAGGAGGGGCGGCTGCTTCCTGCGTGGGTGGGTTTGGCGCTGGGGTTGGTTGGAATCCGTTGCTGAAGTTTTCCTTTTGTTCACTTTTATAAATCCTCTCCCCGGGCTTTGGGGCATCCCCCCTCCCCCTCCCTTCCCCTGCCCCCCAATTTCATTTTTAAAAAGCGAGCTCGCTCGCCAGGTGTGTCCCCCAAGCTCTTACGGCTCTAATAAATAAGGAGCACCTGTAAAACAGTAGCTTGACTTGCGAAGTGAGTGTCAAAGGAGATCGTAGAAATAATAGTCTGTCCACGGCTCCCGGGGCCGCGACCGCGCCCGGCGGGCAGGGGCGCCCCGACTCCTCCAGAGGGAACAATTGCTTTATTTGAGTTAGTAAACAGATACACTGAATCACAAGGTGATTGGATTTTTTTTTTTTTTTTAGTTTTCTTTTTCTTTTTTTGAATTTTTTTTTTTCTTATTTTCTCTTTTTCTTGTACTCATCAGAATGGGATACTCCACGACCGTCTCACCAACTCCGAGGCAGTCCACACACTTGAGAGGACTTCTGGACGCACAGCTACGACTGTACAAGTGCACACAAGAAAATCTACCCTGTATCCTCCACCCACCGATTGAGGATCGAATTGCACATTTCTCTTGACCGTGACAGGAGAAAGCAGTGAAACGGAATCATGGGCGAGCTTTCTCACTTAGCCCCGCGTTGTCGCTGGTCTGTCCATACCGTTGTAATTATCATGAAAGGGCTCTGCGCACGGAGAGAGCGCTCGCTGACCCCCCGGATCCCCGGGGACCATCAGGGTTGAAATTCCATCCAAGTCTTTCCTGACGCCCAGCGAATACTACCCTCCCCCCGGACTGTTTTACACCTTGAGGGCATTTTGGTCTTCAGTTCAGCACTCTTGCTCTGTTCCCAGACGGGGCGCTATTTAGGGGAATTGAAAGAGACGCTGAGAAGAATAAACATTTACCGAGTTCTCTTGGCATTCAGTGTCTGAAAAACCGCAGTATAAGCTATTCATGCTGCCCCTTATATCTGTCAAATCGAAAATTAAAAGCCATAAAAAGTGTAACACTGAAAATATGGCATTAAAAAGGATAAAGGCGGCCTTTGTAAAAAACTAACAAACAAACAAAAAAACCAGGAAAAGTATATTAGCCAATAAAATATTCTAACTCTTCATTTAAAAGTGCATCCTGGGCAGCACAGAGATGAACCCGAGGCGCTGGGACCCCAGTCCGACCCTTCTCCGCCCTCCGAACGTGAACAGGTCCCCAACCGCACAATGCAGATCACACGCAACTCAGTGTAGCAGCAAGTCCACAGCAGTTTTTTAAAATGCTTTTTAAAAGACTTTTGTTTTCAAATCCAGACCATCTTCCAGCCTCACCCTCTGTGCCTTGAAGATGGAGCAGGAAATACAGACATTGCTCCTTGTGGCTTGTTGGTGTTTTGTTTTTTTAAAAACCAGGGGTGAAATCCCTAAGTTCCTCTGGGGAGAAGCAGCGATGGTGGCAGCAGGAAGGCTGGGCCGCCTTGGCAGGTCCAAGACGCGCTGGCTTCTCTGGGCCCGAGGCCACCGAGGGAGGGCTGCTTCCTCTGAGATGCTGAACCGCGGGAAGCGGCTTCATTGGCTTGAGTTTTAGCCAGAGGGGGTGGTGAGCTGACAGCTGGTGTCAGGGACGGTGGGACATGGTTTGCTCTGTGCCCTCTCTCCACGCTAGGTACCCTGTGAGTTCGCGTTCCTGGAAGAAGAGAAGTGGCCATCAGAACCCACCGATGAAGCCCCCTGCCCCCACCCCGACAGCGGTCCGAGCAGCTACTCTGCCGCGGGCAGGACAGACCTCAGCCCAGACCCCAGAGCTAAGGCGGCACCGAGTGGTTTCGACATGACTCTACATCGCGTTCTGCTCAGGGTCAGCCCCGCCAGTTTTGTGTGAGGAAATGAAACCCGAGCCACTTCTTGGAAGACCAGCACCAGTCTCGGGCACCGCCCTCAGCCAAAGACCTCAGCTGCATCCCTGGCAACCCAGACCCATTCGCCCAGGCTCACCCCAAAGCCAGGCTCGGTCACCAGGGGACCCTGGAGCTCCCGAGCTCATGCCTGGACTCCATGCAAAGGAGGAAAGCACTGGTGTTTGCTGCAAAGGAGGAAAGCCAAGAGATTCACTTTACGGCACATGAAACATTCCTGTGGACCTGTGGACTGCTCTTCAGATGTTTCCTAGGGAGGTAACTGAGCTGGAAATGCCCCTCTTGCACTGGCAAAGGGTTGTGCATGACAAAGGTGAGCCATTGCTACCTCTTACCCACATGGAGCAGTTGCATGGGACTGGAAGACAGTAAACCAACCGGGCCTTGGGATCTCAGGACAGAGGCTCTGACCTGGACTGCATACAGGAAATATTTCTATTTCTGGGGAGTGCCCACCCCAGCTTTCACCACACACCTTAGGCTCAGCCCCTCTCTCTCTCCTGGCTTATTTCAGTTGCTACCAGTCCCTTGGTTTGAAATACAGTCCCTCCCAGTAAGCAGCCACTTAGAAACCTGCCAGCCAAACCGGGAAGTCCCTGAGGTCTGGCCTGTGTCTGCTTCACCCACGTCTCTGCACCCAGCCCCTTGTTCAGCCTGAAGCATATTTGGTGAATGAATGAGGATCAAGCAGCTCTCCAACCCCCATCCTCTAAACAGTGCCTTTTTTTCCAGCCAATAAATAGGGAGGCCAGAAATATGAAATTGGGCTAATGTGAGGTGGTGCCAGAAGACTTGTAAACCTCTTTACAACTGTCAAGATTATTTCTGGAACAATGAACAAATAACTTCAGAGAGGTGATAGAGTTTAACATGTGAGGGGGAAGGTCCCAGAGATAATTCACTACAGTTTCCTCATTTTGTAGATGAGGAGATGGAGGCCACAGAGAGACCTGGAAACTCGCTCAGGGTGTCTGCAGCATGAATTCAGCACAACGGGGCGGAGGTGAAAATGCCCGTTAGGGGGACTAGGTACGAGCTTGTGCTTTGAACCCTACTATCCAAACCCTGGTGTTAATGGGAACAACGATCGGCCAAAAAACAGGGTTTGGGAATCTGAATGTGCCTGACAGGAAATGCCTGAGTTCCCCAAATCACATTAAATCGCCACATCTGGGCGCCTTTAATATGTATATTAAATCACAAAAGTGAAAATGTGAAACAGCACAAATATGCAGCCCGGGTGGGATTCCAAGGCGTCAACCCTCCCCACTTGGCACACTCAGAGCTGGAAATGCGCGTATTTATCTCTGAACGAAAAGCTCGCTTTGATTTCTTCTTTTTCTCTTTTCTTCTCTCTTCCTTCCTTTCTTTTTCTGAGACTGAGACAACGGCAGAAAGGGAAACAGGAGCCAATATCACACGAGAGGCCGCGGGGGCCCGGCAAACAGCCCCGAGACGACAGCCAGACCAGGCGGCCCGCAGGCCCAGGGCTGCCCCTCGGCGGTCCCCCCACCTTCGGGGGCACAGCCTGGAATTTGCTGTGTAGGGAGGGAACCCGTTCCCACCTCTGGGCTTGGAACCAAGAGCGACCAATCTTGGGGTCAGAGGGGACCTCTGAATTCTTTCTTTAAAAAGGAAAAGAAAAAAAATTTTTTTCTTCCAAGTGGGAAACACCATTTTGTATTACTTAAGGATGCTGCAACTGCCTTCAAAAGGATGTCGCTCTTTCCTCTCATTTAATCATGACCCCACAAAGAGGAATGTTTCTCAAGTAAGTTACTTTGCATTCAGAGCACCTTTGGACAAAGGCTGAGCGTGGACAGCGGCGACTTGGAGAAAGTTTCAAGGCTTTCCTAAGGGCGTGGGGCGTGGGGCTCTAATGGGAGCCGTTCTGGAGCCTGAGCCGCAGGCCTGCCATCCCAAACACTGTAATAATCAGTATTGTTCTCTGGTATCTATTATTGTCTGGTAAATATGTGTTTTCCCCCAAAGTTCTAAACGGTGCAGCTGCACCCAGTCTATCCTTTGCAGCCGCGCTCCTGCTGCTCTGAGAGCCTCCTCGCACCAAGCTTATTTGGAGAGAACGGCCAGGCAGACGATGGCACAGCGCTGCTTCCCTCTCACCAAGGACTGGCCGCGGCCGGGATGCCCACAGAGGCCGACGGCGGCGGTATGAGGTCCTTTCTGCGGGTGACATTTGAGGAGGGGGTGTACTGCCGTCACCCTCATTTGTTCTTCCGGTTCTGATTCCGGGCAGCCCGCTCGCTGGTGCCACGGAAAGACTCTGTTTATCAGTGAACGGGGAGAACCAGGCTTGGGCTTCCCCTTCCTGCAGCTTCTGCTGGGCGAGGCCTGAAGGCCGGGAGTGGGGAGGAAGCAAGCTTGGGGTTCTAGAGAGCGTCCGCGCTGGAGGGTCCACAGCCTCCGTGGCTTCCTGACCTGCCCTTCCGAGCAGAGGGGTCTTAGGGGAGATCCATCCCGTCTAAATTCCATGGTCTGAGTCAAGGGGCCATTTCTACAAGGAAGTCAGAGACGTGAGTTAGAGTCCAGCGTGGCCCCTACCTAGTTCTGTGACCTTGGGCCTTAGACCTCCCCAAGCCTTGATTGTTCCTCTGTGAAATGGGAGCCGGGTTAAGATTTTCTGTTATATTTTCCATCTCATATTCGGTGATTATTTGGGCCACAGCCAGTGTCAAGTATGTAGGATTATGAACTTGAGCAGCTGGACATTAATCATTGTCAGTGTATCAGGAAGACTGAATTTCTGGACCCCAACGTCTTAAGTTTCAGGGACACACACACACACACACACACCTCTCTGGCAGAGATTTTCGGAGTGTCCCTTCATGCAGGGGGTTCGCACTCGTGCCTCACGTTCGAGCCAAGTATGTGCTGTGCATGAAGGCCAGTACACCGTGCACGGTCTCCGGGGGGCAGGCATCGCCAGGTGCCTCAGAACTCCTGGCCACCTGCCCCGTTCAGCCAGAGGAATGAACCGCCTTCCCCATGGAATCCTAACTGTACAAGTGCACTGAGATTCCGTCCACTTCTTTCTGTCAGGACGGCACCAAAAATGTCAGTTACTCCCTGTATCACCCAAGAATTCTCGTAGAATCACAGAGAGAAAAATGTGTCTGAGCACTAGTATCTTCCAGTGTTGATAGTGTCAAAATATGGCCATTCTCACCTTCTCTTCTTTGGCCTTTACTGCCTAAGACTTATGCTGGATGCTGGTTGCATTTAAAAGCAAATTTCCTAATTTCCAATCAACCACTCCAGAAGCAAATGTAGGTCTGGAGAAAAATGTCTGTCTTATTCTATATTCCAGTGTTTCCAAGCCAGTCCCCCCGTGATGTGAGAGTCCACCTGCACAGGAAGCCAGCCTCAATGAGTCGAATACATTTCCCAAACTTTTATTCTTCTTTCCTTCCCCAAATACCTCTGTAATTAGCCTACTCAAAATTCTGCAGGTCTGTCTTACCTGCTTCCAAGGAAGACTCTCATGTCCAACCCCTGTATTCCCAGGAGTCTAAATCTCTGTGGCATCAACTCTGTGATGTGCCAGAAGCGCCCGTTGCCAAGCCAGCTCGCCTTTGTCCAGCTGTCTGGGTCCCGACCAATGATGCCATCCACTGGGGCACATCGGCCCCTCACTTATCATGGTTAAGCACAGCCATTACCTGTCGACTTCAGCCTCCCTGTTTATCTGGGACAATAATGAGTTCCTGGGGACGGGACTGCTCTCAGGCAGCCACAGCTATCCTGGGACACTCACAATGGCAGAGCCCTGTGGTTAATGAACGGAGCCACCTGCGCAGCGGATAAGCCCAGGTGTGAGGCCAGGGAGTGGTCTCTGCACCCAGCCCCACCCCAGAACGGGCTGTGGCTTGGCAAGGTTTTGCCAAAAAAATGGTTCCCTTCCTCCCCTGCCAACTACTGCTTCATGAATAGCTCTGAAGTGGCTTTTACCAAGATGGAAACAGTTTCCACTTAGGAAGTGGATGACATCTCTTTCCTTAGAGCTCATTAGTTGATGAAAGTAATTAAAAGTCATCCTTTCTCCTTTCTAGTGTGTTTGTTATGGGAAACAACCCTGGTGAGGGGTGAGTGTGGGGGCCCAGGGTAAGCTGGGCCGAGCTGCGCTCCTGCTTGGGTGTGAAAAGCAACTTGTTACCACTCAGTTACTCATCCGTGCCTCTGATAAGCTGGGGTCTATGTATATTTAAAAGAAAAAAAAATTAAGCCAAACATAAAGGCCTTGCTTTTCTTTTTTGCATTTTTCTTCTCTAGCAATCTCTCTTATTTTACCCTTTAATCAGTCAAAATCACACCCATATAGACCACCTACTGGGATGACTCCACGTTTACTTCTTTGTTTTACGAATGAAGACTTTGGTGTTCTTTGCTTATTTGGGTCTATGAGTTTAATGGGTACCGAGGCCGTTTCTTCTTCCAGATGGTCACTGCGCATCCTTGCTGGCCTCTAAGTGTTCCTGGGGCAGGGAGCCCTGAGCCCTGGACGCCTGTCGTGCACCCCTATGGCAAGTCCTTTTCTTCAGCCTGGACAACGAACCCCTTTACCTTGAGTCCTTTCTGGAACCTGGGGCTTTAAGCAAACTCACGACCCAGTGTCTGAGCCCTTCCACAAAGTGTGCAGGGGTCCCTAACTGAACCCCCTCACAAACTCCCTGCAGCAGCTACATCCTGTCCCGAAAGACAAAATAAAATTTAGAGTCACATGATACGGCTGATGTCCTGCAGGAATTGTGAGGAGCCAGGAGCCCTCTGCCCCTGGCATTCAGCAAGCCTCTTCCCACTGGGCTGGGAAGCTGCAGTGTTTCCAAGAAAGGAGTCAGATTTTACTGAACACCTACTATATACCAAATATGTGCTGGGCACTTTTACTTATTTCACTTATGCACTTATTTCATTGAAACAACAATGCTCCTGAAGTATTTGTTACTATCCCCATTTTACAGATGAGGAGACTTCCCTAGGAAGGGTATGGAACTGACTCGATGAAGGTCGCCTGCTAGAAAGGGACAAAGCTGGACTGAAGTCCAGTGCTACGCCTCCAAAGTCCACACTCCCTGCTGAGGAATGCACTCCCCAGCCTGGTTTCCCCTCGCCCCTTCCTAGTCCTGACAGGCTGGGGTCACAGCGTCAGAGCTGAGAGACATGCACAGTTCAGCTCCTTTGCTTTGCAAACAACAACTCTGAGAAATTATCATTGGATTTTCATTCAAGTCCCATCCAGTATACAAACCAGCTGATGCCAGGTCACGTGCCTCTCAAAAATTCTGCTTAGGACAAAAAATGTAAATGTTTATTGTGTTAAGGTTGATTTTATTTCTATCTATATTATCTGAACACAGGCATTCCAGGTTTTAAAAAAAAAAGAACCCAGAGAAAAGAGTGGCTTTATGTGCGAGTACTATGATCTATGAATGAATAATAGATTTTAAGATTTTAGGTGAGGTCTGGGAAGGTGGTCTTTCTGACACTTTATTTTTCACAACCAACTGATTAGAGGGGCTGGGGTGTAGGATGGGGCAAGCTTCATTTTCATAGAAATGTATTTTCTATGGAAAATAAGAGCAGGCATGCTGATTCCCAATCCCTCTGCCCCCAAACAGTCTAGGAGATGGATCGTGTGATGGATAATTGCTTCTCTGCAGCCCTTCACCCTCTCAACCCAGACAGTCAGGCACAACCTATTCCCGCTCTGAAATCAGCTGCCCGACAGGATGCGAGGCCATGGGTGGCGAAAATATGACTCTGGTCCTTGGCACAGGGCGTGTAACCCAAGCAGCTCAGGTCGTGTCCTGTGTCCCACCAAGAGGAAAGGCGGATGAGGGCTCAGGTTCCGGTCCTGACCTTGAACGTTTGCTCCGTTTGTCCCAGTCTCTATTTGTAAACATAGAGCCAGACATCTTCCAATTTCCGCAATGGTTTCCCTAACCTCTGAGGTTGACAGCACGGAGGTGCTTCATTACCTTCCACCCCACAGGCTGGGTTGCAGGGGCCACATGATGAGTCTCATAATAAGCACCAACTGTGTACCAGGTACCTGGACATTTAGCTTATGTTACTTACACTGAAGACTGACGACTTGATGAAGTAGGGTTTTGTTTGTTAGTATAGAAGACATGCTCAGTAGGTGCTTGCAGACTCTGGCCAGGCTGCCGCTCAAATCTCAGTGCTGTCACTCACTGGCTAGTGACACTGGGCAAGAGGTTTAACCACCCCGTGGCTCAGTTTCCCCATCTGTAAAATGGGTTTAGTGATGGTTCCCATAGGGTTGCTGTGAGCATATAATATTTGTAACACTGCCTACGTACAGAAAGCACCCCATGAACATGAGCTGTCACAGTTAGCGGGTGAGCAGGGGCGTGCACAAGGGCCATACAACCTGCCCCACAGCTGGGAACCACACGGCCAGGTTTCCAGCCCGAGCAGGCCCCACTCCGGCCTGTGCTCTTCTCTCAGGCACGGCGGCCTAACGGGACGGTGACTGCCATTCCTGGGGCCACCATGAGGTGCCACATTGAATGTGCGTCGTCTTCCCGACCCTCACAGCCTTGCTGTTATTGCTCACAACCTGGAGATGAGGCTCCCTGCACCGCGGCCCAGGCCAGCCCGACTCCAGAGCTGACGTCTTGTCCTGACACCACACCGCTGACCCCCCTCCCTACTGGGAGCCCACTGTTCCCCATGGGGAAGCTTTAGGTCCACAGCCTGGGAATAAGAAAGAGGAAAGGACAACCCAAGTGCCAAGCTCCCTCGGGGGTACCTGGGGGATCTAGTTCACATTCTGTGACTCTCCAAGGCCGCTGAGGAGGAGCAAGGCACCCGGGGCCACCGCTGCTTCGGTACAAGCGCAGAGCGCATGGCCCTGGCCGTGGCCACTGCCCAGTCTGCGTGTTTACCATCAGGGCCGCCGGGAGGGCCACCTGCCTCCGCTGCCCTCGCTCTGAGCAGCTGTCTCCAGAGGGCAGGACCTGCCTCTGTGGGGACCGGAGCCTGCGGCCGCCCCTGGGCCCATTCACTCCTCTTCTCCAAGGACTCGTCACCCACTTGTTCTGCAGACGCCTGCACGCCCCGCCCGTGCTGAGCCAGGAGCACCAGCCGGCGACGCTGGGCCCCCCGGAGCTGTGTGCGCACGCTTGGCCGCTGCTCGCCAGCGTGACCGTGGCTGTCTCTCGTCTCTCTCAGCAGGTTGTCAGCTCCCCCAAAAGGTCCAGGGCTACTGCCCTTCCTCTCCTGCTTTTTATTTCCTCTCCGTTCTTTCCACCCTTCCTGGTAACTCTTATTAACAGCGCCCCTGTGCCAAGTCAGTGTTAGTTAAAAATGGGTATGTTTTACCCTCTAGGGAAATAAATGAAGAGAATCTCTGAACTATAAACAAGGGACAAGGGACTTCCTTCCTGTTTGGATATGGTCAGGAGCTTACTAAGTTTTGTGGATTGTAATACATGAATTCAGGAGAAACTGTGAACTCCAAGTACAGGACTTATTTTAAGTTATCATTCCTACACACACACACACACGCGGCTGAGACAGAGCTTCCCAGGGTGAGGGCACTGTCTAAATCAGAAGCCTGAGCCAGGGGACCTTCATCTTTTGCAAGGCCATGATGTTTTTCCAAACTTTTTCCCACAGTTTTTCAGTTAGCCCTTGGGATTCCTGTTCAGACCTTGGTGGATATGAAAATAGACATTAGATCCCACGTTTATGGTGTCACTATTTTAAATGAGAGGAATAGAGGGACCTAGATATATTTTTGGTCTGGCAAATTGTGGAACTACTTTTTCAAACCTCTGCGGTTTGGCTAAACCCAAAACTTACTTTGCCAAGGAGTTTGGCCTTAATTTTTAAATGCATGCATATTTTAAAAGAAATTCAATCTATGTTTCTGACTCATTTACACTTAACTCTGGAAATTCTGTTTGGTAAGAGCTATAAGATGTTCAGGCAGGTTTACAAGCCTTTTAAAGCCTCCTTTCCCCTGTCCTCGCCAGAAAGTTGTACTTTGCCAGCCATAAAAGAATGCGAGACCCAGTGGCCTGTGGCCAGTCTGAAATTGATAACCTCCGAGACGTAAATGGATCGACTTTGGGAATAGAAAGTATTTTTTCCTCTCTTCCTTTTCATATTAAGTGCACAGAAAGACTACCTATGATAAAGATAGGGTTCTGTGTTGTAGCTTCCATGATGGCTGGTGATGAATAGTAACACTTCAATCTAACCCTAAAATGATTAGGAAATTGAGATTGTTTAAGATGCTTTGGAGGAACGGTAAGACACGTAAGTTTACATGGACATGGATTCAGATCCTACACTATAATGGAAGGTTTACTAATTATTCCAAGGATAATAACCCCACAAAGAAGTGGGACTCGGCAGGATTCAAGTTGAACATTGAACCTTTGGAAGACTGGGTAATAATTTTTAATCACAACCAACCTTGTTTGTGATTTTTATGCATTTAAAAAATAAGCTGAATCTACTAAAAATGGCATCTGAATTAAAACCAGAAAAGTAGGAAGAACGTGCATGCGGTGCCTTCACCCTGTATCTTCCATACATAATGATGCTCAGATACTACTCAGTTACAGCATTCTAGTGGGAGAAAGCTTTTGGACAGAATACTTAGAAATGGCTTATAAATATTTAAAGTATAAGCATCTAACAAATCATAATGACAAAGTTTTTGCATTTAACCACATGCGCTCCAAGTATCTTGAAATTACTCTAAATATGGGTTTAAAATATCAAAAGGGTTTGTTGATGGGATGCAGAACTTCGCAGAGAAACTTAAACCTGACTGTTCTTGCTCCCACAACACCCAATCTGCACAATTTTTAAAGTGTGCATGTGTAGATTTCCTTAGAAAAAGATCACATTACAGGCTGCATTTCCAAAACCAGAGCTGAAGGATGAAATACAGGGTTTCCCCTCTCACCAAATGCAGTTCAGCCACTTCGCTTCTAGATAATTTGTTATTGTAGGTTGGCTCAAATTTAAGACAGTAACATTTCAGGAACACTTGGAGAACTAAGCCAGCTGCAAGGCGGGTATCATTACAAATTGAGGCACGTGTTGTATGGGAGTACCATTCCTTTTCAATACCAAAACATGCCTGGGGAAATAAGCCATACAAATGAGGGTGAGAGATCCTTTTTAATTGCATTTTTGGGATGTTAGGTCCATGTTCCACACCAAATGAGTCTATAAAGTATGTCTCTTCTTCTTTTCTTTAAATGCTCTCGGTCACACATTCTGATTTCCCTTTTTACCCCAAACACAACTTGCTATCAAAGGAAGACAGCAAACCTTTCCAAGGGAAAGAATGAGCAAGCCAGCAACACTGCCGACATCTGGCTGGAACCAGGCTGGAGAGCGCTGACCGCTCAGATCTGTCGCTGCCTTGACCCCACCGCCGAGCAGAGGCAGCTCTGCCCCCGTGCCCTCCCTCCCTGTCCCGAGTTGTGCGTTTGGGCAGCCGGGTAAGAGGGCAGGAGCTCCCTGTGGCCTACGACCAGAGCTCAGTCCTAGGAGCACAGAGTTAAGAGGTCTTGGAGCAACTTGACTGCTTCCAATTTCAGAATGTTCAGGATGCCCCCAGCTGTTTTAAAGCATGAGACACGAATTCCAAGTTTTTGTTGTTACTCTTATTTTGTTATCGTTATTGCTTTTGCTCCAGTCATTTTCACTAGAATTTTTTAAATGACCCTTGAAATAATCTGTGTGTGTCCCTTCCTTCTTGATGGCCTTGCATTCCCAATGTTGACCTCATCCTCTTTTTTTCCAAGCAGAACGCTGTGGAAATCCACAAATCTGGAGAAGAGCTCTACGTGGTAGTATTTAGAGCTGGCATCTGAGATGGCATTTGCTCCTTTCCCTTGAGAATGGGGCCCTGTTAACGCCAGCACTGACTTACTTATCTTTGAAAGCTGATCTCTTTGTTTCTCTGAAATGGATTCCTTATATGTTTTTGAGGCATTAAGAACAAAAAATTTATACACGCAGAATGCATTACTTTTTATATGCATCACACATAAAGTGTTATGCATCTCAACTGGCAACGGAAGGATACAAGTTAATTCTGCAAGGGACAGGGTGATGGAATATGGAACGGCCACTGTCTGTCCCTTTGGCACAAT